TCAAGAAAAATGTGATTTAATTTATTATCTGAAATTTAAGCATTGCAAGGAATTGTATTGGTTTAGAAAATTACAAAAGAATATGGAAGAAAAATTTCAAAACTAGAAAGCATTTTGCTAAGATTTTTCAGAACACTGAATTTGTTTTGTGTAGCATACATGTATTGTATGTTTATAGAAAAAGGTCAAAATTCTAACAGTAGAGGCATAATGGATAGATGATACTGGGAAGTGGATGAAGCCTTCAATTTTATCTGTTACTTGAAAGAATTTTTTTTTTTTTTTTTTACCATGGTCTTATGTGACTTGTGTAGTTTTAAAAGAGAAAGCAAATGTATGTAGTGGAGGAAGGAAGAAACTGGTTTTTCTCACCTCATTAAATATGCCTTGACACATATTTACAGCACATGAGTCTGAATGGGTGCCCCTTAGCTATCTCAGATTCTGGAAGGTGTCTCACCTTCCACCTCTGTTTTCGGAGCAATCTGCTGAGGCTGACAGTCATATTCCTTTCTGTTTTGTTTACTGTAGCAACTCGGTAATTTACCTCTGATCTCCTCTTCCTTCTTCCCCCTGCCTCTTTCTTCTTTTGTATGGCCGATTCATTTCCTGAATCTTAAATTTGCCAACTATGCCCTCGCCTTTCTCTCCACTTCTATTTTATTTCGTGAATGAGAATGCATAGTAAATGCACAGTGGTACTTGTAGCTTCACTCTGGTAGTGACATGTTATTTCTCACATTTCATTAGCTAAAGCAAGTCACATGGCTGTCCCAAATTTGACAATGGGTCAAGTAGTATGTACCTGCAAAATAGTAGTAATAATAATAATAATAGTTATTCATGGGTTAAAAAAAGAACAGCACTTATCATACTTGCCTTCTCCAGACATCTAGATCAAATATTTATCTTTAGATTGTGTTATCTAGAGAGATATATCATATTTGATAATCATGCCTAGTACTTATCCTTTGGTATTTGTTCTCCTTACTTTAATTTGCAAGCTACCAAAATATTAAATAAAAGCAGTGATAGTGAGTATCCTTATTTTACTCACGATTTAAAAAATGTTAATTAAGAAAATTATTTTTATTTATGAGGTTAGTTGTTTTTTGCAAATGACCTATGTCAAGTTATAGAAGTTTCTTTTTGTTTTTAGTTTAGCAAGTATTTTGGTACTAAATAAATAGTTTTGATTTCAAATAAATAAATCATTTATTCTGGGGTTTTGTGCTAAATAAACCATATAAACTTATTCTTTTAATATATTTTTACCTTGAATTATATTATCCATAATTAACGGTGAAATGCATTTCATATTTTCTAATTCAAACCAATTGTGCAAATCTGGAATAAACTCAACTTGGTCAGGAGACTTAATCTTTTTTATACATTCCTTGATTCATTGTGTTTATGTTTCATTTAGAGTTTATTTTTGGTATTTATGTACATTTTGATCAATAATTTTGCTTTCTCATATTTTCCCATCTTTTTTAAATATCAAGGTTATACTAGCATCATAAAATAAGTTGGGAAATAGTTTCTCTTATTCCATTTGCAAAAGTGTTAAAAATTGGAATTACATTTTTCCAAAATGTATAGTTCAAATGATTTACACCATTGGCTGGACCCATTTTTTGCCTTGTGGGAAGAAATGTAACTACAGACTACTTGTTTCATGAATAGAACTATTCATGTTTAATATTTCCTATTTTTAATTAAAATTATTTTTATGAAGTTATAATTTGCATCAAGTATAGAAATCTAAAGTATCTAGCTTGATGGATATTTTTCAAGTGTATCTACCTGTGTAATGGCAACCCATATGAGGACACAGAATACTATTCCCAGCACTCCTGAAGCTTTCTTGAACACATTCCCATTTGATCTTCTGCCTTAAAGAGAGATGATTATTCTGACGTCTATTACCAATGATTAACTTTGTGTTTGAACTTCATATAAAAGGAATCATATAGCATTTTCTTGGTTATCTGTTTTTTTTTACTCACCATCATGTCTGTGAGATTTATCCATGTTGTTGCTTATTTATCCATGTTGTTGCAGTTCATTTTGCTTTCATTGTGTTATATCATTTAATTGTATAAATACACCACAATTTACTTATGCATTCATTTGTTGATTGGCATTTGGGTTGTTTTTTTCTTGAATCAGCTTAGGTTACAGATTATCTTAGAAATTTGTCCCATTTGAACACGTATACACTGTTGGTGGGGATGTAAATTAGAATAACCTCTCCAGAAAGTGGTATGGAGATTACCAGAGAACAAAAGGTAGATCTACCATCTGATCTAGTAATTCCACTATTTAATATCTACCCTAAGGAACAGAGGCCATTATATAAAAAAGACACCTGCACTCACATGTGAATTGCATCACAATTGCCAAGATGTAAAATCAACCTACATGCTCATCAACCTATCAGTGGATAATGAAAATGTGGTACATATATACCATGAAATACTATGCAGCCATAAAAAAAGGATAAAATCATGTCCTTTGCAGCAACATAGATGGAGCTGGAGATACAAAATGGGATTCTCAACCTTTACATATGGATGCCCCATGGGAACTGACTCAGAAACAAACAAACACCACGTGTTCTCACTCATTTGTGGGAGCTAAATGGGCACACAGAAATAATTAAACACTGGGACACCAATAAGGGGAGGGACGGGAAGAGGATAGGATCAGGGTTCATGAACTACCTACGGGGCACAATCTTCACTGTCTGGGGAATGGAGCACTTGGGACCCAATCCCCACCGCTCTACAATCTGTCCACGTAACAAATGCACATATGTACCCCCCAAAATCTAAAATTAGAAAAAATACTGTCCCATTTGTCTAAGGATTTAAGTTAATTGTTATAAAATTATCTGTAATATTTTCTCGTATTTGTAACTATATTTCATCTGTAGTTTATGCCTCTATTTTAATATCTAACATTACTTTGATATCCACTGTTTTTTTTTTTCCCCTTATTCAGTTATGCCATGGGCTAGCTAATTTCAATAGCAAATTCATGGATGCCAAAATATCCAAGAATAGGGATACCCCTTGATTTTCTCCATTAGCAGGAACTAAGCCTCAAGTGCTTAAAAATCTAAGCTTATTGTAAGCTTACTTTGGTAAGCTTTTCCAGAATAATAAGTGGAACTTGCTTATAGTTGTCTAAGTAAAACACCATTTTGTTTACTTTTTCAAAACAAGGAAATTCTTGGTGTCTAATTCATTTATCAGATTCATTCTCAGTGTTGATAGTACTGAACTGCGAAAGTTGAGGGATATGCCAGTCTGTTGTTTGCCTTTGCAAATTACAAGCAGAGTTTCTGGATGTGGAGTAGAGTTGCTAATCTTAGATTATTCATTTGAGTCATGACTTTCTACTACAAAGCAGGAGATGTTATGAAATAGAATAATTCTTATTCCAGGAATGATACCCAAATTTTTACCACAGTTAAAAATTAAAGTTAGTGCTTGAATTCACAAGATCTAAAGAGAAACCAGTCATTGAATACATTGTCTGAAAATAGAGGTTAATTGCATATTTTGTAGCAGGTCTAAATAATCCATTTGTCTAATTCACCACACTCTATATACCTATTTTCAAATATATTTTCCCAAATTTTCAAGAGCACTTACATATTAGCTGGTTTTACACTTACTTTTATTATTATTGACAGGGTCTTGCTATCACCCAGGATGGAATACAGCAGTGAAGTTATGGCTTCAGCCTCAAACTTTCAGGCTCAAGGCATCCTCCCACCTCAACCTCCCAAGTAGCTAGGACTACAGGTGCATGCCACAACTCCAGGGCAATTTAAAAAATTTTTTGTAGAGATGGGGGTCTTGCTATTTTGCTCAGGCTAGTGTGAAACTTCTTTCCTCAAGTGATCCTCTTTCCCAAACCACTGGGATTACAGGTGTGAGACACCACACCTGGTCCTAAAATTTGTTTTTAATAAAAATTACTATTGTAGGAATGCTATAATTAATAAGTAGAGAATAGAATATTTTGACAAAAGGTGATAAAAGGTTTCCTCTGGAAGCACCTAGTTCCAATGGATAAAGTTGATACATAAAATGGTTGTGGTTTCTGGCTTTCTCTTGGGAAATAAATTAAAGAGAATCTGAGACAGGACAATTTTGGTTTGTCCTTGACTGCTTTACTAAAAAGAACTACCACGAAACATTCCTCATTCCTGAACATTACTGTAAATATGATAACTTATAGAGGACAAAATCACAATTGGCCAGTCGTTTCCCAAATAGGTTTTTCATTTTTAAGACACAAGAGGAAGGCTAGAAGTACTAGTTGGTTTAGAATATTTCTCATCTGGGATGAGCTATCCCAGATGGCAGAAAAGAGAGAGTTTTGGAAGGAGTAGGAACTCTGTAGAATTGACTACAAACATGTGCACATAAACACACACGTGTTCATATCCAATAAGGCAGCCAAAAAGTCATCAACAATCCCAGTGCTTCTATAGTTTAATTAAAATCACTGATTGTTTTCAAACCCAATATTTAGAGATACATCAGATGGTATTCATACTCTACGGAAGTATGTGTAGTTAGGAGAGGGTACCTGGGTGAAAGATATAGCAACAATTGAATGGTCAACAGTAACTTCCATGTTTTTTCCATGTGTCAAACTATTAGGGCATCAATATGTTAAGGCTGAGAATCCCATTTTGTATCCCCCATCAAAAACAAAACAAAACAAAACAAAACGAGCACTAGAAATGATTCTTGTGTCTCTGTCTAATAGTGGCAGATCATTTTGATTAAGGGAATTAAATAGATTAAGGTGCACGAGAGCAGGAAAGAGGAGGGGCAAGAGGGGGGATTATGGGATAAGGTGTACTGCTACTTTAAAATTATGCATGCATGGACCCATCCGGGTCCCTCCCACTGCTTGAGGTACCCGGTGAAAGCTTGAGGAGTTCAGTTCCTGGAGGGTCACCACGCAGACTACGCTCTGAGTTTCAGGTAACTAAGTGCTTGCTGTGCAGAGAACTTTACCTGGGCACCCAAGTCTTCCTTCCAGCATTCCTGCTGCTACTGCCTATTTGCTAAGAGTAACCAGGGGTTTCAACAGCGTTGCCAGGCAACGAGGGACAGCGGTCCTGTTGAAGAGCCATTTGTCACACTAAGGGGACTGGTTGAAATGCAATAAAGAAATGGTAACTCAGCTTATTTATCAGTACAATTACTTGCACTGTCTTACGTATCCATATTTAACCTACAAATATGTAGTCATATGAGGAAACATTAACACAAGCATTTTGCTAAATATTAAAGCATAGGACAGACAGATGGTGTTGGGTTTCTAATCAGCTTTACTGCGAGCTTAAAGTTGCTGCACATGCTGGGATAAGGGAAAGGCCCAAAATGCTTTGCCAGCTTTATTTTGGGCATCTGCAAGTTAGCTCTGGGTTACAACATACGGTGTATGCGTAAAGAAAATCTATACAATTCTTTACATTGTTAACTACGATAGATAGTGCTAATACCATGAGGGTGGAGTAACAATCTAAAATTACTATATGGTGAAATGTATTATTACTAAACACACACACACACACACACACACACACACACACACACACATAACTGTCTGTTCTGTGGACTTATAAAACGCTTAATTTGTCCAATAACATCAAGATATTTACCAAAAGAATGAGTATTTTACTCTAAGCACTGTACTTCAACATGCTTTTTGAGAAGTTCAGTAGTGTTTCTTGTTAGCTCCAAATCCTCGTACTTAGGATAAACTTCAGTTTTAAAGATGCAGCAGCTTTTTCTTGACACTGTGTTTTTGATTCTCAGATACCAGCTGCTACTCATGTCTTCGCCATTGCTAAGAACATCTTGGGTATTACCTCAGTGTGAAAACGTGTCTGCAGTTTCCTGAAAATGGAGAATCTCAACATTACTTAAAGTATCCTGCTTTAAAGTGTTGCTGGCAAGTGGCACGGGCCTCATTATTTATTTAGGAATGCTTTATCCGGAGGAGAATGCTTTTTTATAAACATGAATTGCCTCGTTCTCTCGCTGGGCTTCGGCTTCTTATTTCAGGTCATTGAAACATTGATCTTTGCCTATTTTGCTTCGATATCGTTGGCTGACTCACGGGGTCTTTTCCCAAGGCTGGAGAATGTGGGAGCTTTCAAGAATGTTTCAATTGTGCCAACTCAAGCAATGTGTGGACTCCCAGACCGAAGCACTTTTTGTCACAGCTCCGCTGCTGCTGAAAGTATTCGGTTCTGTACCCAGCAGTTTTGCATTCAGGACTGCCCATACAGATCTTCAACTCCTACCTACACTGCCCTTTTATCAGCAGGCCTCAGTAGCTGCATCACTGCAGACAAGAATGATCTGCATCCTAACTCCAGTAATAATTCTACAAGTTTTATTTTTGGAAATCATAAGAATTGCTTTTCTTCTCCTCCTCCTCCAAGGCTGGCGGCGTCATTTACTCTAGCTGTGTGGTTGAAACCTGAGCAAGAAGGTGTAATGTAAGTAGGAGTGTGGGTGTAAGCTTTCCCAGGACCCTGAAAAATCAGTCGTAGGGAAGATTATTGCAACTGAATTTCAAACTACATACAGAGGCTAACAATACGATGTTCATGCGATTGAAGACTGACTTCTTTCTACATTATTACCCTTTCTTTCAAGTTTACAATCCAATTGTTTTGATTTTTTTCCCCCTTCTTCTATGAATGAAGTAGACCATAAAAAAAATGTGTCAAAATAGTTCATTGCAGGCAGACATGTTTACACCTGAATCATTTATTTCCTATGGGTTAGCTAAACATTTGGTCTTAGCCTTCAGAGACTAAACTATACTCAGGGTGGGGTTTAACGCATGGGGACTAGTAATACAAATAATTGATATTCTCAAAGTCTTGGTCTAGGACTCTATAGACAACTTGTCCCTACTAGGATATAAAAATTTCATTAGGCAGATAACTGTCTTAGGTCTTAGGACTATGTTTTAATCATCCTCATTACCTCAAGAAAAGACGTTTGTTTGAATCATGGAGGAAGTTCAATAATATGAGCTGAATATATAAATAATACTCCGTCTTTAAAAAGATAGATTTTAGGCCTTTACTTTGTGGTGTTTTTATTTTTCCAATTAGTAAGGAAATATTTAGTTAAGTGCAAGAGATTCTCAAAAGCTTTTAGGCTATTGATCCCAGAGAAATGCCTTCAATGAGTTTGCAGTGGGGCTTCCTATCATTTTTTGGGTTCGTTTATTTAATCACCTGTTTTCATTCTATAGTCTTTTTTCAAGCTGATATGTAATGGTTTCTCCCTAAATATTTAGAGCCAACTTGGAAATTTTAGTGAGTACGACAGTTTTGAGGCATTTTTGCTTATCTTTTGTCTTCCTGTAGGGCTTTTGGCTCTTTCCCTGGTGACATTTTCTTTGTGTGAGAGTGTTGGCTGGATATCTAAAAACTTGTGAAACAAACCAGAAAAGTCTTACAATCTCATAAGCAAATATGACTTAAATGTCTTTGGTGTTTAGTTTCAAGTTGCCAAATGAAAGTTGGCGTGTCTTCATTTTGTTTTAAATTTGGATTGAAAATTAATCACAAACCGTTTTCCCTATTTTTATGGTTCCCCTAAAGAAAACTTTGTTTTCTTACTGTTTGAAATTCCAATAAATCCAAGAGATTCAGTTTATGTAACTAGTATCCAAAGGGTCTTAAAACATTGTCTCTTGACAAATAGGGATAGGATAAAATATTTTTCCAAGCTTATAGAGACATATCTGTACAAATTCATCTCTATTGGCATCATTTTGCATAAATAAGACAGAGGAGTATTTATAGAGTTGGTGGCACATGGCTTATGGTTTCTAGAGTTCCTTGAATCAAGGTCGTTTTCAAAACTAAAATACCTATGGGAATTGGGGGAATTTCGGGGTGTTTGCACTAGATAAGTAAAACAAACAAAACATGGATTATCCAATTATTGTTTATTCAGGAGCAGAATAAATCCAGTTCCTAAATATTTTGCTACCTGCCTTCCTCTCACATTTATTATCTACCAAAGCTGGTATGTTTACAAGCAAACAAAATAGCAAGGAAGATAATCAATAACATATTAAGAATTGCATTTTCAGTAAGCTTGGGGAAATAAGTCTGTATTTGGTAAATACATTCTTGAATAATGGTCAAATTCTCACTTGTAGATTTCAATTCAAGAAAACGAATAAAGGCAATCTCTTCTTAGATTATTTAAGACCTGGAGACAGAAGAATAGTAGCAAACTCTTTTATTCCTGTAAATTAGAAATATGCAACTACTGAGGGTTAAAAAAGAGAATTTGCAGTATAATTTATATAAAACCTTTATTTCCACTCATACAAAACATCATGTCATGTAAAACTATTTTCCTAAATTAAAAATATACTTGCTTTAATAAATTATTACTAAATATATGTACAAAATATAGTAAAACAGTGACAATAAAAGAGACACTATCAGTATTCTCCAATCTTATTCTTACCTACAATTCAGGAAAGAATACATGCAAATGAGAATAAATGATTTGTGAAAAATGCACCCCTTAAGGAAAATTTTAAAACATTTTTAGCAGTAATTCTGGAATGGCCCAATTTTGCATTTGCCTCATTGTTACTTTCTACTATTTGATCACTAACTCATTTTTTGAGGGCTACTGAATATCCAGTATGCTTGTATCATCAGAATACACATGATCTATATGATCTAGTGGAGAAGACATATGGATCAGTGCTGTTACATAGGCAGCGTAGTCTATTATATGAGCATAAAGGGAGGACACTTAACCAACTTTGAGAAGGGAGAAAGGTTCCAGGATCAGGCATAATCACAGAGAGATACTGAAGCTAAATAGGAGGTGACCAGGTGAAGAAAGGAACCCAAGGTCTGGAAGGTATGCCACTGTAATAAGGATAGAGGTAATTTAAAAAAAAGATTTGATAACTCGCCTGACACAAGACCTAGAATTTTCTAAAAATTCTTCTATTTGATCAAAAATATTATTTCACTATGTTCTTAGAAGATTCAATGACCTTTTGCCCAATAGTTTTAACATTATATTAGTGCCTCAATTAGACTATGTAGTCATGGAGAGGTAGCCAGTCATCTTACAGCCACTGGCTTTGGCTTCTGGTCAGTTGACGATGGGGTAAGTAGAGACAATAGCTGTCCATTCTCCATTTCATCATGCAAATTTAACAGAGTGATTCCGACTTCAGGCCTAGCAATTTAGAGCCTTCCACGGACACTAAATTCTCTTTACAGTAAAAAAGAGAGAAAGAGAGAAAGATTTGCGCTGGTGACTCAATACCCAAGCGGGATGTAGCGTGTTGTACCACTTCCTATAAAAGAAATAGCAGAAGAACTAATGAGCCAAAAGACTAAATGTTAGTTTTGCAGTATGATTCAACCGCTTTAGTTTCCATCATGAATCTCTAATGAAGGATGTTGAGGCTCTGGGGAATATATTGTAAATAAAAGTCCTATTTTTTATTGAAATAAAAGGGCTACTTCATTGGAATAAACTTACTTGGAATACAATGACATTCAGTCACTTATTTATAGTGTATCATTCTGAGTGAAGTTTGGGGTCATTTTAATACCACTGTCCATGCACAATGCCTTAGCATGTCTTTTTGGTTGGATGCTGACCTTTTCTTTCTTTTCTGGTTGCTTCCTAAGGTGTGTTATAGAAAAGACAGTGGATGGGCAGATTGTGTTCAAACTTACAATATCTGAGAAAGAGACCATGTTTTATTATCGCACAGTAAATGGTTTGCAGCCTCCAATAAAAGTAATGACACTGGGGAGAATTCGTGTGAAGAAATGGATTCATCTCAGTGTGCAGGTGAGTAAAATAAAAAATATTTAACATTTGGTTAAACACAAGGATCCATCTTCCTTTCTCTCCTTTAAATGGCAACTACTCACAAAATCTGCAAAAGTATCTTTCAGATTTTAAGTATATATGAATGACAACTAAGAGAAAAAAATTTAAATGACCTAACAATGTATCTCTTGATATACTAGCAATTCTCCCCTAAAAATTGCTGCAAAAGCTTCCACGGAAGCTTAAGGACAATGCTACTTATAGTAATAATATCCTCAGAAAATTTTTTGTTTCATTTGGTTAGTATATTCTGTTTTCTTTAAAAATGTGTAAGTGTTCTTTTGATGCTTAGTACCAATTTTACTAGTCATGGTTGTATTAAAACTTCTCCCTGATTTTTACATCTGTCTTTCTCAGATAGCATCTGATGATGTGAATAAAATTTGGCTGTTGCATTAAAATGGTGACCTTAGAACTAATGAACTTTACACTTGAGGCACTCGAAAGGTGTTATATTATTATTTTAGTTGTCAACCACAGTTTGTATGAGCCTTAGAAGTTGCTAAAGGCTGAGATAACTGTGAGACGTTTGGTATTTACAGTCTTCAGAATAGAGGCACACTTCATCTTTTTGTCTTTTCAGGGCACTGCAATGACCAGCATAGCAGAAAGCTCCCCTTGCCTTTCAAACTGGTGGTATCGAGTACCACATTTCCTAGTATGAGCTCTCATAAGGGCATTCCACATGGATCTCATTCCTCATTCATTTTATGCAAATTATCTTTGATTACTCACTTTTTTTTTTACCCTGAAGCAGGTAGTGAATGGACTATCTCAGAGGGTCTTGAGAATTGTTATTTGGTTTTAAAGCATTAGAATATGAGTTCAGCAAATGCATTTGTCAGGGAGCAGCGTTTTCACACACCCCTTGGCCGACATCAGACTCTGTCTATAGGACATGATGGTTTCAGTCTCAGTGCTTATTCTCCACCTGATCAGTAGTTAATGAATAGAGAACACATTTGTCCAATATTTGGAAATTGTCCGTTGTACTCACTGACCAGTACAGCAGAATTGGATTTTAATGTTAAAAATGTGGAAATAGAAACTGCTAAAGAAAGATAAGCTCTTGAGCCGGTCTCGGTGGCTCAGCCTGTAATCCCGTGCCTTTGGGAGGCTGAGGTGAGTGGATTTCCTGAGCCCATGGGTTCGAGACCCGCCTGGGCAGCGAGACCTCATCTCTACAATAAATCAAAAAATTAGCCGGGCATGGTAGTGCATGCCTGTAATTCCGGCTACTTGGAAGGCTGAGGTGGAAGGATTGCCGGAGCCCAGCAGGTCGAGGCTGCGGTGGCCGGGAGTGGCCACTGCACTCCAGTCTGGGCAACAGAGTGAGACTCCAACTCAAAAAAAAAAAAAAAAAAAAAAGAAAGATAAGCTCCAGAAGACACCAGATAGATGTTTGTTGCATATTTTTGTATCAACAATGATGAAACAATTCTTTTTACTTCCCTTTATCTTGTCTTATCTGTGAAACTGTGCCATGTTTTGGCAGGCAGTATTACATTAAAAGCTTTACAAATAAAGTTTAAAATCTAAATGCAGAGAGGTAACCATGACTGAATTACTCTCTTGGGAATGAAATGCTCTTAGAGTGCCTATTGAAATCAGCATTATCATTTCAATACATGTCAAATATGAATCATTTCCTAGTTTAGGCAAAATTTCTTTATAAATCTTTAAATCTTCCCCTTATTTCAAGAAAAGGTTAAAGTACTTATGATTTAATGAGCCTGCTTTATTTCATAACTGTTGGACTATAAGAGAAAACTTGTCCTTTCCAATTTGTACACTTCTTTTATTTTTTTTTTGCATAAGTTTTTAACTATTCTACATTTTATATTAAAACTATAGAACTAAGTGATCATAAAACATTCAAAAAACCATTCAGATCTGTCATTTATTCATTTAGCACTTATTGAATGTTTTTGGGATACCCAGCATTATGAGACTCTAGATTCATTCAAATGAAAATTAAGCAGCAACTGTTTACTGTAAGTTGGAGAGTTATATAAGATTCCTTCAAATTGGATACCAGTCTGAGTTATATTTAAGCTATTATGAAATTTGTTATTATTTATTTATTTATTCATTTATTTAGAGACGGGGATGTTGCTGTATTTCTTAGTCTAGTCTCGTGCTCCTGGGTTTAAATGGTCCTCCCCCCTGAGCCTCTCAGAGTGCTGGTATTATAGGGGTGAGCCATCATGCCTGGCAGTATGATGAAATTTATAAGACTCCATATAAAAATGTTTAATCAGAAATATGCTCAATGCTTAAAAGTTGTTATAGGAAATAGTGGGAAGGACAGGACATTAGGAGTTGGGAAATTTGATTTAGGTAATGTGACTCTGTAGTCTTCAGAAATTCGTTTGACTCAGTTTTCTCATTTATGTAATGAGAGAATTGGACTAGATGATGTCCTGTTGAAATGAAGCCCCTTGAATTCTGCATAAAATATTAAGTGGAGTGTAGTGGGAGGCACAATTAATTAAATGATGGCAAACTGTTGAATTGTGTATTTAGTTACAGAACCAACGCCTCCAATAACTGGTGCTCAGTCTTGTGCTTTTGTTCTGCTTTCTCATGCTACCTGGTATTTATACAAAAATATTTTCTGATATATTTTGTGGTCAAGATCTAGAAAAATGCAGCTTGTTACTCTTTCATTGTGTAACTGGGAAGAACATTTGTGGAAAAAGTATTTTAATATAAAATCGAATTGACTCACTGTTGTATTATTATGTCATGCATCTATACCCTGTTTAATTTTGGGATTAGGATTTCTATCATGCCAGACATAGGATAGAACAAATCATTAATAATCTGGTTTAGTCAAGTTTCAAACTGTAAGTCTGTACTTAGTGTGAAATGGATATTTTCACTCATCTTCCAAATGACCAGAAGTTGATGAATTAATGTAGTATGTGTTTTTGTGTAAGTGTAAAAATAAAACCTATACCTCTGTTCATGGAATGGCTCAGATATCATAATTTTACTCACAAAGATCTGGTGGCATAAAATTAATTAACAGATCTAATCTTACACCTTATCTCAGACAGTTCACTTACTTTCAGCTTCCCATCAGCAAAATCAGAATTCTAATTTACCAAAATCAGAAAAAAAAGAAATGGTTTTAATAATTACATATTTGGGCAAAAAATATGCCAGGAAATGCCAGACATAGTAAACACTGGAGATCTAATTTTCTAAACAAAAAGTTACTCAATAGTGTTATAAGTAATGAATCTAACAGATTTTATTCCAAAACTAACACTTTGAAGCTTCAACCTGTTGGAAAATGATTAGTTTTTAAATTAATATTCATTCAGGGACTTGAATCTGACAGAAATACCAATTGAAATTTTACTTTCGGGTTTAATATATTGGCTATTTCAAGTTATATCAAGCTAAAATTTATTATGTCATATTTTTATACTAAAACTGGGAAAATCAATTCAGACTTTTTATTATCAAATAGGGAACACTGAAAATATTAGCAGATTTTTTAAGCTTAGTTTTCATATTGAATCAGTACATGCTGTGGTTATTGTAAGAGTTTTGAAATATTTAACATAATTTTATGTTAGCGTTTTGTTATGGATTGGTAGGTAAAACAACTTGGAAATAAATGCATTTAGTTGCATATCAATTAAAAGTAAAAATTCTGAGTTTTATATGGAAATACTGTTTGCCCTTAAGCAGTTCTACCCATTTTATAATACAAATAGCACCAAAGAATCAGCAGTATAGTCACCCCTCCAGTAATTATACTGAATTGCAGTAAAACAATGAAACTATAATTTGAAACTGATGAAATACTACAACTGTGGAACTAAGAAATTATTTAGCAATGGACTTGTTCACAATGCTATGCTATTTTGTGGGCTTCTTGATACATTGACAATTCAAGAGCCACAGATGATTCTAGCTACAGTAGTGTGAAAAAGAGCAATTCTTATATGATACAATAAAAGAAAAAATGCATGGGTAAATAAAGTTTTAGGAATCAATAGATGAGGGATAAGTGTTTCATAATCATAGGTTTTTCATGACGTATGTTCTTTTGATTTATGTATTCAATCTGAAAAAGGAAAACTATTGATGCTTTTGGAGAAAAAGAAAATGCAATTTAACCAACATTTGTTAGAGTAGATAAACCAAGTCTCTCAATTAATCTCTGAACCATATGCCCATGTGCACACTTTATAAAGGTGTTTCCACATTCCTATTGATTGAGGGAGCATAAAACACCATGCTGCCTTTTGAAAGCTTCCTCATTCAGTTCAGTAAGCTCTATGGCCTGAGATTCTCAGAGGAGCATCTCATTCCAACCTCCAACCCCACTCCAATAGAATCTTAGTCCATATTGTTCCTTTAATAATTTTTATTGCATTTCACTCTGATTCTGTCTGTATATGTGCAGGCAAGTATGCATGCATATAAGTGCTTTGTTTATTTCTGCAAAGCCTTCTCTTTACATCTACTCAGCTAAATATCCTTCAAGTGAGTTGAATAGTTTTGGGTTACTCAAACAAAGCCGAGATTAATTGAATGTAATGAAGTTTTTCAGAATAATCATTAAAAATTATAATAGTTTTTATTATTGAGCATTGACTTAAGTGTACTATATTAAACATTTTATATGCTTTTTAAATGCTAATAATAGTTGTATGGCATTGACCTATATTATTTCCATTATAAAGATGAGAAAAATGAGCCTTAGGGAATTTAAATTGCCTGCTTACATTTACAGTCTCAAGTTTATCTGAACTTAAACTAAAAATAACAAATTGCCATGAAATTAGGTCACTCAGAAGATCTAAAGTATAATTAGTTTTCAAAGTTCTCTGAGCCCAAACCAAACAAAACACAAACCTACAGGAAATGAAAAAATTGTAATGTAGAAGTGATTTTTATATGTATATTTATATTTATTTGTAATGTAAATATTTATA